TGCTGACCCACTAACTCCAGACCCGTCCACAATAATTTATTATCATTAACTTATTCAACATGTCAGTGGCACTTACTAATGTAAATATTTGCACATACCTGTTCTCTTGTGTCCATTTTCTACCTTCTAAATTTTATATACACACACACACACATATGTGAAGGACGTACTTCATTATTTTAAAAGTACATGGGCTTCCCTGGTGGCGCAGTGGTTGAGAGTCCGCCTGCCGATGCCGGGGACATGGGTCCGTGCCCCAGCCTGGGAGGATCCCACATGCCGCGGAGCGGCTGGGCCCCGGAGCCACCGCCGATGCAGGGGACACGGGTTCATGCCCCGGTCCGGGAAGATCCCACATGCCGCGGAGCGGCTGGGCCCGTGAGCCGCAACTACTGAGCCTGTGCGTCTGGAGCCTGTGCTCTGCAACGGGAGAGGCCACGATAGTGAGAGACCCGCTCACTGCGATGAAGAGTGGCCCCCGCTTGCCGCAACTGGAGAAAGCCCTCGCACAGAAACGAAGACCCAACACAGCCAAAAATAAATAAATTAATTAATTAAAATAAATAAATAAATAAAAATAGAAGAGTGTGTATCGTGGTATTAAGAATGATATAATGAATATCTGTGCCCAGTTTAAAAATGAGAATGAGTGATCCAGGAATCTTATGAATTACGTGATCTTTCTGGTAAAGTAGTTTGTTCTGTCTGCAGTACCACCATATTTAGTTAGTTCTCTAATTGCTTTCAGTTTTACATCAGTTTTGATCTGAACAACATATCTGGGGATATGAGGTGTTTGTATCTTTGCTTAAATAAAGTCATTTATTGAAAGGTAAAGTGGAATTTTCTCAAGGTCAGAAAGCAAACTGTTATCCTAGGACTTCGACTAGAAGCTGAGTCTTGACTTTTCGTCCAGTGCTCTTCCTGTGAAGGATTCTTCCTCCGTCTGGCCTCCACACATCTCCTTCCGATGCCTGATAACACTGAACATCTCATAAGCATCCAACCAAGAGAACTCAGGAAGGGCTCAGGCCAGTCAGGGAGAAATAGTGAGACCCTTTCCTGTCAGATGAGCCCTCTGGCTGGCGAGGCTAATTCATCTATTTACATAGTAGGAACTTAACCAAATATTGTCAAGTACAAGAATGAATAACTATATATAAAATAAACAACAAGGACCCTAACTGTATTCAGTATCTTGTAATAACCTATAATGGAAAAGAATCTGAAAAAGAATAAATATATATACGTATAACTGTATCACTGTGCTGTACACCTGAAACTAACACATTATGAATCAACTATACTTCGATTAAAAGAAAAACAGAATGAATACAGTTAAGGGACCATAATGCAAAGGCAAACGTAGTTGGTGTCAGAAGCCAGGAAGCGGTTCCCCTGGGAGGACAAGTGACAGAGTTCACATCTTGGCTTATTCACTGGCTGACCCTGGGCAAGCCACTTCATGGCTTAATGGCCCAGAGGGCAACGAGAATAACGGTACCTAACGCACGGAGATACCGTGAGAGGCAATGAAATCGTTTACGTCAAGTGTTTAGCAGGTGCCTGATAAAACATTAGCTGTTTTCATTAATTATCTTTTCCGTTTTTCATGTCTCTCCTCTCTGTCTCCCCGCTTTAGCATGAGTCGTACGGCCTACACTGTGGGAGCCCTGCTTCTCCTCTTGGGGACCCTGCTGCCGGCTGCTGAAGGGAAAAAGAAGGGGTCCCAAGGGGCCATCCCCCCGCCAGACAAGGCCCAGCACAATGACTCGGAGCAGACTCAGTCTCCCCAGCAGCCTGGCTCCAGGAACCGGGGGCGGGGCCAGGGGCGGGGCACTGCCGTGCCCGGGGAGGAGGTGCTGGAGTCCAGCCAGGAGGCCCTGCATGTGACGGAGCGCAAATACCTGAAGCGAGACTGGTGCAAAACCCAGCCGCTGAAGCAGACCATCCACGAGGAGGGCTGCAACAGCCGCACCATCATCAACCGTTTCTGCTATGGCCAGTGCAACTCTTTCTACATCCCCAGGCACATCCGGAAGGAGGAAGGCTCTTTTCAGTCTTGTTCCTTCTGCAAGCCCAAGAAGTTCACCACCATGACGGTCACGCTCAACTGCCCCGAACTACAGCCACCCACCAAGAAAAAGAGGGTCACTCGTGTCAAGCAGTGTCGTTGCATATCCATCGATTTGGATTAAGCCGGGCCTACCCAGCCTGTCCTTGGGGTGCAAGCCCCCAGGCGGGCCCAGAACCAGACCTAAATCAACCTGATTCTTACTTGGCTTAAATCTAGAGGCAAGAAGAACCACCAGCTGCCTTCTGCCAGGAGCCTGCTAGTGCGTAGTTTGTGTGCATGAGTGTGCATGGGTCCCTGTGGGTGTTTGCAGACACCAGAGGAAACACAGTCTCTGCTAGAGGGCACTTCCTGTTATGTAAACGTATCTGCTTCCATGCGGGATGGTACAGAAAGCCCACACCACCTGAGGCACATTTGGAGGGGCAGGGTTCTGCCTTGGTCTTCCATGTGCCCTCCTGGGGACCAGAACCTCCCTTCAGAATGAATGTTAATGGAAGAGGCTACCCTGAGGGCAAGAGACCTGTTTTAGTGCTGCCTTGGCCTTAGGATATTTCAACCTGTGCTTGCTTTCCCCCTTCCTCTTCCCTGTCACAGTCCATCCCTTCTTAGGATCTCAGTGACTATTTCCGTCTAATCCCCTACCTGCCAGAGGTTCTAAAGTAACTCGCTTGACCACAGATGCAAATGTTTCCAATTTGGGGAAGACCTTTCAGACTCTGGGGGAGGCTGGTAGGGCAGGAACGTTAGAGGATTGAGAGAAGGGAGAGATCGCAGGTGAGGACCAGTTGGCCCAGCAAAATTCAGGAGGGAGGTGTGCAGAGCCTGGAAAGGCCAACCCCCAAACACGGTGAGCCCCATGCTTTAGCAAGTTTTTTCCTGGTATTTAAAGAACCCAAGGAAACAGGAGAAATGAAATTGCCCCCCAAAATCATTAACTTTGTGTCACTGTGACTGTCGAAATTAGCTGTAACCCAATACCAAACTTAAAACATAAATATTGACCACTCGTACTTTCAGAACCAAGTGAGTGAGCACAACCAAAACATCCCCTCCTGCTTTGCCCCTCAGATGGACAAAAGATGTAGTTCAGAAACCCCCCCCCCCACAGGAATAGGAAAAAGACAAAAACCTTATAAGCAGAAGGTCTTATTATCTTTCCTTTAGGCTGGGGTATAATCACGTCTTTCCCAGTTCCTTATTCCTGGGTCATGTTTCTGAGAGCCACAACCCTGTATTGTAAAGATTCTGCCTCTGCCAAATGGACCTGACAGTGAAGGACCAGGCTAAGATAAGAGAGTTTAGGCCTGCTCCTTTTTAGAAAGGAGTGTATTTGGGGTCTTTTTGTTTTTGCTCTCTGTAAGAGATTGAGCTGGAGAGCAGAGTAAGGAAAGGGGGATTGCCTCTGGCTAAGGAGTAGTCAAAAGTCAGGGAGGACATGTAAGGGATACACCAGCCCTTCTTCCTTTGCCCTTGAAGGGTCTGATGGGAACCTCCAGTTAAGAAATCAGAGTATTTGTGTGCATTAGCTGTCCTACAGCTGGTAGGATTTATGTAACATTGTAACCATTTGGAAACTACTGTTCCCTGATTAAACTTAGGTTATTTGCAATGCGTTTTTAGTATTTATCTGATGGCCAAAGCACAGGGTGGGTGAACCTTCCTGCATTTTGGATTTGGACAACTTGCTCTCTTCAAGCCTGAGGTTTTAGATGTAAACCCCACCCCCACCCCCGATACTATTCTTGCCTTGCATCCTCTCAGTCTCACCAGCCAAGTCATGTGTAACATGGGAAACAAACACCATAGACTTGTGTTTCTGTTGCCCATGAAGGCTCCAGCATTCAAAGAACCAATGCAACTGAAGAGGCTGTTTTTATTTTATTTTTGTTTTGGTCCAGTGCTCTCCCTACTAACAAATAAATAGGAACCATACTTTGAGGCAGAAGTCATCTTGAACACCCGAAATATTGGGTCTAGTTTTAAAACTTTGAAATTCACTACTGATGATTCTACACTAGGCGAATTTGTGCAAACACATAGTCTGTGCATGTCACATACACCGTACGCCCCTGCCCTAAATCCTTGTATCGTCCACGTCCTTCCAACAGTAAAACGCAGAATGGATTTAATTAAGCATGCAAATGCTAAGCTAGAATTTTGAGGGTGGGGGAGAGGAAAAGAAAGGGGAAGGAGCTGAAAATATAAAACCACACTAGAGAGGAAGAATGACGGTCAGAACCAGCAGACACCGAATCTCTCTTGTTCTGACTCTGCCACAAGCATGCAGTTTTGTTAAAAAGAGATGACTTCAGTTGGCAGCAG